ACGCCTCTCTAACACTAGAGGAACCCATAATTAAACGTGGACTTATATTGGCTTCCTGCATTTTTGACCATCCCTCTCCAAAGTGCTCAACAAATATATTGATTTTGCTTTGCAATGATTTTGGAAACTCTTTGTGCTTTTTTGCATGGCCAACTATGTACCTCTGTGAGAAGAGGGAACTGAGGCAACACTGACAGCATGCTAATGAAAATAGTGGCCTCCCAGCTTTATATCTCAATCTCTATCATTCTCTATGCCTACTCTGAAGTGCTGCAAGTGATACATTCACCTCTCTATAACCTCCGTCTCCCCTGGCATACCTCATTTACTATCATTTTGATCACAAAGTTAGCTCCAGAAATGAATGTGGAAAACGGGTAACATTGACTGGAACCTGCTCCAAAGGCAACAGCTACCTTTTCAGAAGCACAGCTGCCTGCTGACAGGCTTCCATATCTCTTCCCCATTTTTTTTTTTCCGACAGAGATTAGAGATGCTGAAAGAGAGGGTGTGTGCGCTATCATTGAAGAGGATGGAACCAACGTTTCTGTGATAAATTGAGCCTGCTATGAATAACAGGATTCAGTACTGTAAACTCGAATAACTGCGAGGTAATTTTCCATTTGATGTGTGTTTCCTTTCAGTGCACTTTATACAAAGGTTTCAAGCATTAGGACTGACTTACTAGCTTCAATGCCCTACTGGGACAGGAAAAAGAACATACAAAGGTGATAACACTTGATCATACATATTCCTTATTTAAGACCTACCTACTATGATACTTAAGTATCAGTATCCTAAATATTATATGCTGTTAGTTCAAGGGAAGCCAATACATGACCGATAATGTTACACTGTGTGTTACCCATCCAGGCTTTGTTTTCATGCTGAAAAAGGAAGTCATTGCCAGTCAGATGCTTTCCAGATGATACTACATTATAATCATGGCCCCCGAGCATGACAGGACCTCCACAGTGTTTCTCCAGTTTTACTCTCCTGACTGTTAGGGTGCCTGGGTCGTCGCCCCAGAGTTTTCAGTTTTGCATTATTATTGAACTTTGATTTTTATATTATTTATCATTTCTAGTCTTTTGGTTTCTCTGTTAGAGTTCTCTGTCTTATGGTTTATGTCTCTGTGTTCCATAGTTGCTCTGTCTCCCCTGTCACCTGTATCCCTTTGTCAAGTTGCATCTCTATGTTATGTTTCCTGTTTTACTTTGAAAGTCCATGTCTCATGTTAATGTATCTGATTTTGCTTCCTTTGTCTCATTAGCCCTGATTTGTCCCAGCTTTGGTTCCCTCCTGTTTCCC